CGTCGGCAGCGTCTCGCTCACGCACACCACGCGGAACCGCCTGGGCCTCGCGGTGTGCTGGGGCTCAGCCCCCGTGGGCACCGCCGTGGCGTTCTCTGGCAGATCCCAGGCTGAGTAGGGTGTGGAGTCTGTGGATGCACTCAGTGAGGGCTGTGTGGTTGTGCTGGGGTCTGGCTTACAGGAATTAATCTGAACATCTGCAGCGGGGAAAGGAAACACATGAAGTTGTGCTGGATATTGGTTTTGTACTGACTGCACAGGTGTTTCTTGAATTATTCATCAGTCTTGCACAGCCATTCTTCTCCTGCTTTTTCCAACCCTTGTTCACAGTGTTCCTGAAAACTTTCAGGATTTTGTACATATTCCCCTGCTCTTGTTATCTAAAACTCATTGGTGAGGTCTAGGAGGTGATTAGAAACAAAGTATGGAGCCTTTGTTTGGTCCAGGGATTGGGACAGTTGTTACGCAATGACGTGGGCACTGGCAGGAACACACACCTCTAGTTACTGCCTTCTAGTTAATAGCACAGAAGCTATTAAGGAACAGCAGGGATCTAAACATCCAGGCCCAGGATCCACTGCTGCATCTTCCCCCTGAAAATCGTCAGTGAGGGGAGGGACAGGTCTTTTCACATATAGAAGATGCACATTAAAACAGACTGTTTGATGTTACTGATAACAGATTGGGAATCTGGTTAGCTTTATGGTTTCTGGGCAGTTTGACTTTAAATTTAATTTAGTTTAGTGGATACATTTCCCTTTATCAAAAAACATTCAGCTTCTCCTTACATCTCCCAGCCGTGGCCTTTGGGCAAGAACAGACACACACATCCTGGTTACAGATTCCTCTCATTGTCTCAAATCAACATGGCTAAATAACCAAACCATACTAAGAGCACTGCATCAACACTGCAGGATGGTAAAAACCACTCTTCCTCAGCAGCTTTCATGGCAGCACCAAACTTTTAATTTGGATTGGCTGAATGGACTTTTTGTATTTCTTGGAAACTTAAGAGTCAGGAACAGCCTGACAACAACTGGGACTGGGGACACAGAGCCAGCAAGCGATAACAACTCATTCACTAGTTTTTTTAGTGGGGTATTAAAACACCAACACAAGCCAAACCAACCCACAGAAACGTGGCTGTTGAGCTCACACACCTGAGGAATTGAAGCAGTAAACCTGGAATTCCCGGACGTGATCCGCATGCCACGACACCAGGCCAGTCCCTCCCCTGCCACATCTGCTGTTGGAGGTCACCCGAGGGATGACGGCAATTCCCTCCTTCACCCAGCCGAAGCTACGAGGGAAGGCAGCTCTGAGTGCCAGGTAAC